CATCAGATAGCCAAGCAGAAAAAAGGAAGCATGGGCTAAATTAAAACATGTTGGTGTCTGAATGTTGATGGGTGACTATCGACCTTTTCACTGCTCTTGTATTTGTCCCATTTCTTCACCATCTTCAGCCATTTCTCAACTCGCTCGAGCTCCTGCTGCTTTTGCTGGAGAGAAGAAAGACAAAACAACATGTGGTTCAGTGCATATGTGATTCGGACATATATAGATCACTTTAATGGTAAAAATATGAAGTAGCTATACGTTAAAATGTTCATACCTTTTCTTCAAGCACACTGGGTGTTGGAAGCTCTTCCTCACTGGAGAAGGGCAGGAATACACAATATGTATCAAAGCAGTAGATTAAGAGAGTAATCTACATTATAAAATGATAAAAAAAAGTCATCATAATCTGAGAAGTAGCATACAGAACGATGGGACCAATTCAATGCAAGGGAATGTGCACAAATTCAAAATACTGCAAGGTAGAGACCAAAGCTTCAAATGTACTTACTGCAGGAAGCCAAAGCGGTCTGTGATTTTATAAATGCTGTAGTCAGCATCCTCCCACGGATCAATACTGACACCCTCCTGCCTGCCCTGAAACACAAACAGTTCAAATCATGCATATTTGGACAGATCCATTATTTTCCTCTTTAAACCCTGCGAGTCAGCGCACTACATTTTAAATTAGGAGCCTGAGACATGAGCACATGCCTTGACATTTTCTGATGATGTTCTGCCTTCCCGACAGATGCAATTGAGACTTAGCCCATGCAAAGGTAGGGAGCGTGTGAATGCTAACCTGTGTAGTATCCTCCAAATGAAACGTGACAATCTTCTGTGGCTACACCTCTACAAATGCATTATGCTTTGCAAAAATATCCTAAGTGTAACCACAAATTGGTCACTATGGAAATGTTCACAGTCACAGTTAGGTTTTCCTGTAAACACCTACCTTGTCATATTTAGAGATGATTTCAGCCCGTTCTTCTGCTATTAATGTGTCTATGTCCTTCTTCATGTCAAAATCTATAAGAAAACACACAGAAATAGATTAAGAGAGTAATCTCTTATCTCTTAACCCGTGTATATGCCAATGCATTGGCATATACATTGGGCATGTGGAAGAATACTGACCTAATATTGAGGTAAATATTGATTTACTGCTGATTGGTATGGTAGGATAATTACACACTTGATCCATGATATAAAATGTTGCTTGAATGTAAAAGAGATAACTGTAACATAAAACTGCTACAATCTCCTTGCATTAAACTTACCGAAATCCCTCCATAAAAATATGACACATACAGAAATTGTGAGGTAAACAGCCTATGAGTGTATGCTGGAGTTGGTGGAGGGCTTGAAACAGTACGAAGCAATGCAGCGCAGCAGCGGCACTGACGTGTCAGAGCGAGTAGGAAATTTAGAAATTTAAATATGGAATATAACGGATGAGGCATGTTACATGTTTATGACACAGTGCAGTTAGAGTTGGCTGTCTGAATTAGCTTGCACGGTATTGTCCAATGCAATTCTTCACATTGACTTTTTGAAGAGTGTTTGTTTTAAAAAGGTTACACAGGAAATTAGTATAATAAGTCAGCCCTTTGGAATAAACGTGGTGCACTGAGGAACGTCATACTGATTCTCGACACATGCAGCCAACAGAAACCTCAGGCAGTAGATTTTTCGTAGCATGCCAAGCAGCAACAGGTGTGAGTGCACCTGTCGTCTCACACAAAGACCCTTTAACTTTTCCCTGCAGACCCTTACTCATTGTGCTGACAGGGAGACATTGCATTTGAAGCGATCTACAATTCACAAAACGTACAAGTTCAGGATGCAATTTGCTTCTCAGTACCTGTAACGATGTCTTCACATACACGTAAAAAGATATCCAGTGCTGCTGAAATACGAGCAGTTCTTGGGACTCTCCTACAATTAGGCCTAATAATGGAAGAGGTTTGCCACAGTAGAAACAGGTGCTCATTGAAACCAGACCTCTGAACAAATGGACTCTGTTGCTCTTTGCTTTCCTTTTCAAAATTTCCCTTTTCTCATCCACCTCAGCTTGAGCCATTTCAGGGTTTTGATGGCATCAGCATACTTTCTGAACAGCTGTGTAAACCGTCTGTGAGGTGAGCTCGGTAACCAAAGTCTTATCTTACCTATATCACATGATCAGATAATGTGGTCTTACTAGTGTATTTATCATAGGCTAAGAAAGTCGTAAAGAAATAAATTAATAAAAAGCTGAGCACGTTAAGGCAACTATTGTTGTGATCTGGTGCTATATAAATAAAACTGAATTGCACTGAATACTTTAACTATGCACACAATGTTTTTTAACATCGGAGTTGATGTGTGGAGTGTCATGGCCCCACATTGTAAAGCTACATAATTGTTTTTCTTAATTAATCGAATTTTTAATTGTATTTTCACAATTATCAAAAGTTTAATTTATGTTTCTCTTCTAAGAGATGCACTGAATTTAAGTGAATGAGGAGGACTAATCTTATTTTAATGCAATGACTTAGTAGGAACGTCACACAACACGGATGTGTAAGCAAGGTTATGCCAAGAGAACGTGCTCTATTATTATGAGTTCAGCTTTAATGGCACTGCCAGTGAAACTTAATTCTGGCAGAAACTTAATAATATCTATATCTATCTATCTATCTCTATATCTCTATCTATC